AGATACTTTAAAGGCAATGGAGAAATAGTAAAGCAAGAATAATTAGGGAGGCAAAATTTTCTATGCTTTAATTTGTTGTTGTTGTTGTTCCAGAGATCGAACTCAGGACTTTGCACTTGTGAGGCAGGCACCAGAACCACTGAGCTAAATCCCCGGCCCCTACAAGTATATTTAAAAAAAAAAATAAAATCACACTATGGATGCTATTTATTGTATTCTGCTTTTTTAAGGCTTTTTTTTTTTTTTGGTACAAAGATTGAACTCAGGACCTAGCGCTTGTGAGGCAGGCACAGTGCCATTGAGCTAAATCCCTGACCCTAAGTCTGCTTTTTTTTTTTTGGTACCGGAGATAGAACTCGGGTCCTTGCGCTTGCACAGGAGGTGGTAGTAAAACCACTGAGCTAAATCCCCGGCCCAGTCTGCTTTTTTTAAACATACTATATCTTATATCTTAAATATCATTCCATGCCATTAATAAGACTATATCACTTACAGTTTCTGATTTCATTTATGGACATCATGTGTGTTTGCTTCATAATTTAGCCTTTTCCTTAATGGCCCTTATTGGGAGGATGAGAGTATATGGGAATAAACTTCAACTCTTTTTTTATAAATAGGATAATTAGTATTGTCTTGTCACTTTGAACTCTAGTTGTGGTGGGGCATTGGGAAACTGCTTGTTCATGTCTTATGTACCTTTTTTCAGTGTGCATTTTCCATGTTGGGTTTTTGTTTGTTTGTTTGTTTGTTTCAGTCTTTGGTAATAAAAGGTATTAACCTTTCTTCTAGCTAACGTTACTTTTCCTAATTTCTTTTCCTTTTGATTTCTTGATGCACGGGAAGTTTATATTTTCTTATGTAGTGAATACTATTTGTTTTTTTTTCTTAGTGACACACCTAGAAAGTTGTGCCTCACCTCGAGTTATATAAAATTCACTTTTATTCTCTACTTCCTTGTCATTGATTTTGTTACTTTTAAATACATTGTTAATTGGGAAATAATTTTGGTGAAAGATTTCATTTGGGTGGATCAAACACCTGAACAACACCCTTTGCTTACTGTTATGAAATTTTGTCTTTATCATACACTAATTTTATATACGTGTGTTTCTGCAGTTTTTTTGTTTTTGTTTTTGTTTTTTGGTACCAGAGATCGAACTCAGGTTCTTGTGCTTGAGCAGCAGGTGACAAAACCACTGAGCTAAATCCCCGGCCTGGACTTTTAAATGTACAGTGATTGGATATTTACTCTTGCTGCTCTGACATATTACTTTAATAGTTTTTGGGCCTGCAGTTTAGCTCAGTGGTTCAGCTGTCTGCCACCTGCCTCGCAAGCGCAAAGACCTGAGTTCTATCCCTGGTACCAAAGAAAAAAAACTTTAATAGTTTTTTAAAAATATGATTGCAATGATAGGGGGTTAGTATCCTAGACATCAGTGTTTTTAAATGTTGATACATCACAAGAAACAGCCTTTAGTCTATCTCCACTACAATAATGACTCTAAGGATTCATTTAAATATCAGGTTTACATCAAGCCCTGTGTTAAGCACTTAACCTGTTTTACCTAGTTTATGACATTTCAATCCTTATAGCAACCCATATCTTACATACCTTATAATTTATCATAACATAGTTTCTGTTTTATTGAATAACTTAGTGCAGGAATTACTAGCTGAAAATGAATGATATAGAGGAAGTAAATAGAATCGGAAAATGAACATTAAAAGATTGCAGAATCATTTCTTTGTGCAATCACATCATTGTATGACCTCATACAAATGACATAAAGATGAAATTTTGAAGTTATTAGTATGCTTAAAAGATGTTATTAAAGACATTTTTTGTTTCTGTTTTTTCTCTTCCCTCTCATTCCCCCTCAGGCCCATGGGGTATTGTTTTATTTTAATGCAAGTCCCAGATGATGTCTCACTGGAGTAGTCTAGTGGATATATCTGACAGATAAAGTCTTTTTTTAACTGCCACACTACCATTACCATATTCAATAACTAACAGTAATTCTTAATCTTGCTGAACACCCAGTTTATGTTTAATTTCCTCTAATTGGTATCACAGTGTCTTTACAGTCAGCTTATTCAAATCAAAATCTAAACAAGTTCCACATATTGCATTTGATTAATATGTCTCTTTAAGTCTTTTTGCTCACTTATTTTGATGTCATTTATTGAAGAGTTGCTTACAGAATTTCCCAGAGACTCAGTTTGACTTGTTACATTTTAATGATGCTGTTTATCTCATTCTGTCCCCTTTAAATAAATCTAAAGCCTTGGTATTATTCATGTTAAGAGTTTTGAGCAAGAACTCAGGCATGGTGGCGCACACCTATAATCTCAGCACTTGGGAGGCTGAGGCAGGAGGATCACTGTGAGTTTAAGGCCAGCCTGGGCTACACAGTGAGTTCATTGCCAGCCTGGACTACATAGTGAGACCTTGTGTCAAAAAAAAAAGAGTTTTGGGCAAGAATAATTACTAGTGATGCTGTGTACTTCCTTTTGCATCTGATCAGGAAACATATAATGTGGTGACCAATAATAGGCCACTATAATACGTGACAGATTGTTTTTTATTTTTTAGGCTGTATTTTGGAATTTTCTTCTTTTAAAAAGCTATTGCTTATTTCAATATATTTGTTTTTTGTCCCTTTATATTCTGCCATATTCCCTTTATTAATAAAAGATTAATAGATTAAGTTCCATTTTATAGATGAACTGTAGGCTAAGAAAATATAGTTTGTCTAAGGTTATAGACTTTGCATAGTTCTAAAGATGGTATATTAACTAGTAGTTCTTAGAGTTGTGTGAATCACAAATGCCTTTGAAAATAAAATGAAAACTATGAAGCTTGCTCCTGGAAGACACACTTGTGTGCTCATATAAAATTTGGCAATTCATCCTGGGAGTTTTAAGAACACCCTGTGCTGCCTCTGCTCATCCAGGAATTCCAGTTAAAGACCTTTTGCTTTGGCTTATTCTACAGTCTTTATTCTTTCCTCCTACCCTGGCTTACTCTTTCTTATTTTCACCTCCCAACTACCCCAGAAGACTTTTTTTCATTTGAAGTGACTCATACGTCAATATATTTTGTAATGAGTAAAATTTGGAATGTATCTAGAACTTCTAATATAGATAACTCAGCCTCTGGTATAGCTTGATCAAATTTAGTGCCTGGGGGCTTAGTTGCTACAGTACTTGTATGTTTCATTGTTTTATATTGAGGTAGTATTATGGGGTAAATCATCTAACTTCTCATTTTTTATGATCCTCTTCCTAGCAATCTGCAGAGCGCTGTGTAAGCACATTGCTTGACCTAATTCAGACCAAAGTAAATTATGTGGTCCAAGAGGCAATTGTTGTCATCAGGGATATCTTCCGCAAATACCCCAACAAGTATGTCGAATTCTTCTAACCCTCTTCTACAAATCCTTTAGGAAATGTTTTAAGTAAGATACTTTGAAAATGGGTAGGTAAGATCTATTCTTTTTAGAATACTTTATTAAAAATCAGAGATATATGAAGTGGTTAGCACAGGGACTAAAACCTGATTTTCCCCTCTGCTTTATTATTTTTAGAAGAAATGAAGCCCTTTCTAAATATGCATGTCTTTTGGCATAGATTAAAGTTGACAGATTATTTGATGGCAAAGTTACTGTTAAATAGAAACATAGTGCAAATTGTCTGAGAATGCTCTCAGTTCATGTCTATTGCGTAGACATAACTAATGATTATGCATTTTTTCCTCTCAAATGTCTCAGTTTGAATGATAAATCATGGCCCATGAAAGCTAGGAAGTTAATAGCTGTACTGTTCACTTTGCATGTGACCTGCCACTTTGTGGAAATTTATACATGATGTAACAAATTACCAAGCAGTCTTTTCTGAAGAGCTGTAGTGGCACTTACACAGATATGCAAAAATCTGCATTTCATGTCTTAGATTTTTCAGATTGAAGCTTCTTAGTTTATAAAGTAAAAATGCTTTAGGTGTGATTCACAATTCAAAAATCTGAGTGAAATAAGAGCAGTCTTGTGAGCATCCTAAATCTTATTCTACATTACAGTCATAGAGTCATCTTGTGCTGAAGTTTCTGGTTAATCTTAAAGACAGGGTTAAATGGCCTGGCTCCTGTGGCCCACACTTGTAATCCCAACACTCTGAGGGGTTGAATTAGGAGGATCATAAATTTAAGCCCAGCCTAGAAAACTTAGCAACTTAGTAGGACCCTGTCTCAAATATGAAAAAGGCTGAGGATGTACTTCAGTGTTAAGTCCCTGGGTTTAGTTGTCAGTACCTGGGCTGGGCCAGGGAGGATAGAAATATTTTGATGAAAAATCATTATTAAGCATTTTATATACATATATATTTTTTAAATTTTAGAAATGATATTTTTGGAAAGAGGACCATAAACTTTTTCACTGTCCTGGAAAAGAGCTTCCTCAGGTTTCTGAACTTTTTGATTAAAGGTGGAAATGTGTATCTCAATATGACTGATAGAAAAAGGTGACTGATTTGTGTTCAGAAGGGGTTTTGACAGCAATCAAGAGCTTGTTTTAATCAGTGGAAGTAGGTCAGACAATTAAGTGTAGTATTTAGCTCCCCAAATTGAATTTATTATTCACTATCATTATACTAGCCAAGGAGATGAATTCAACATGGTAAAAATATAAGGGAGCTTAGATCTGTAAAAATAAAAATGAGTATTTGCAGTACTTCTTTGGAGAAACAAGTCATTAGAGTTTGTTCCTTGAGGAGAACATACAGATCTCTTTTATAAAAAAGAAAAATAGTAGAACAAGGAACAAAGTAACTGTTTCTGATTTTGACATTGTTGTTTTCCAGCTCTGTTTTCCTAAAACTTAAGTGGGGTTTCTGTTCCTTTCTACCACGAAGGCAAAATGGGATGATACGAAAATTCTCTGATCTAGTTATAAGAAAGATTGTTAAACACAAGATAGATGCTGATATTATACCACAGGTTGATGTTTTTCCTTGTGAAAAGGATAACTGATGCATTTTTATTAAAGTTTAATATCATTATTAAAATATAATTGGGGAGAAATTTAAGACATTTATAATCTTCTGACTTAAAAGCCCATACATTCTCTTGAGTAAAAGCCTTTATAGTTTAGTGGTTTAGTGTATGGTCCCTTGAACATAATTGTGCCTTTAGTCTTCGCTGTTAAATGCAGCTCTTAGTTTTGTCTTCAGTAACCATAGTCCATCTTACTGTTTTCAGGTATGAAAGTATTATTGCCACTCTCTGTGAGAACTTAGATTCACTGGATGAGCCAGATGCACGAGCAGCCATGATTTGGATTGTAGGAGAATATGCTGAAAGAATCGACAATGCAGATGAGTTACTAGAGAGCTTCTTGGAGGGTTTTCATGATGAAAGTACCCAAGTAAGTTCTCATCTATCTTATGTCCTACATCTCTTTGGGAAGATGCCAGAAAAAGCAAAAGGCAGTTTCTTTGTACATATACATTGTTTGTTCATTTTCTCCCAAAAGAGATTATTTTTTTTTCTAGTATAACAAACCTGTATGACTTGGATCACTTTAATGAGCATTAAGAAACACCCAGAGGGCTATTAAATCATATATTGCTGGACCTCACCTGCAGAAATCTGACTCAGTAGGTCTGAGATGAGCATTTCTTACAGGATTCAGGTGGCTGCTGCTGTTGCTGCTGCTGCTGCTGTTGTTCCTCCTCTAGAACCACACATTAATGGGCACTGGTTTAGAGCAGTAATCCCCTTTTTATTTTCTGTAACAAGGATAGTTACACATTCTTGTTAGTAATGGCTGTGGCTCACTACATGAGGGATTTTCATGTGGTGCTATGGTGAAGTTTGGAAAGATTCTCTTATGAATGATTAGAGTTCTTCCCATTTTCTGTCCCTCTTCCCTACTAAGCCATCGGTCCACAGAAACAGACGGTAAGCCAACAGAAGTTTATGTATCTAATTCATCATAGTAATCTCAATAGGCTTAATATAGGAAACACAGGGTAGTAGATTGTGATTCGGCAGCCAACTTCTCATTGGCTGTGGTCTGACATAACTGTACAATCATGGTTCTTGCTCCAGTAAGGATTCTATAATTCCTCCAAACTTGTAGCTTTGCTTTGCTTTTTTTGTATTTTGTTTTTGTTTTTGTTTTTGTTTTTTGGGGCAGGGTTGGTCTCACTATGTAGTCCAGGCTAGTCTTGAACTCACAGCAATTCCCCTTAGTCTCCTGCGAGCTGGGATTACAGGCATGTGCTATCACATGTGGACAAACTTGTAGCTTTTCATAGAGTAAACAAAGAATTGGTCAGGAACCAATTTCATCACTGTCAGTATGTTAGCAGTTACTTTAAAAATTATAGGTGATAATCTGGCTCAAAAACAAGCCACTTTTGATTCCAGAAATGCAATTTGAGGATAGAAGGCTAATAAGTTTTTACTTGAATGCCTTTGTGTTTCAGAATAACTTTGGCTGCTATTGTTGGTATTGGCTGACTTTTAACCTATTGTCTCTTAGCTAAAATAAAAAAGGCCCCATAGTAATTCATAGGTGGAAGAACACCACTTTGGAGATGAGGCCAGGGAATAATACAAATGCCTTTCTTTCATTTTATCAAATTTGTCCGTTTAGGTCCAGCTCACTCTGCTCACTGCCATAGTGAAGCTATTTCTCAAGAAACCATCAGAAACACAGGAGTTGGTCCAACAGGTCTTGAGTTTAGCAACACAGGTAAGAAAAAGTGAGAAATTTATTTGTCTTGTTCTAAATTGTAGCACAGGATCTTGCTATGTAACTCAGGCTGGCCTGGAACTCATGGTCCTTCTACTGAGATGTTTTGGGATTAGAGATGTGCATTACCACACTGAACATTTTCTGTTCATTCATTACTTTACTGGGAATCGAACCCAGAGCTTTCACAAATAGCTATAGCCCCATTTTATATATGTGTATATATATATATAATTTTTTTTTTTGGGGTGGTACTGGGGATTGAACTCAGGACCTTATGCTTGCGAGGCAGGCAGCGGCACCACTGAGCTAGATCCTCAGCCCTACATTTTTCTATTTTTTAATTTGAGAGAGGGTCTCACTAAGTTGACCAGGCTGGGATTGAACTCGTAATCCTCTAGCCTTGGCCTCTCAGAGTACTAGGATTACATGTTTGCCACCACACTGTCTTTTCTTTTTTGAGGTGGGTAGGGAGATTTATTTTGGCTCATTGTTTTGGAGGTTGCAGCCCATGGTCAGCTAGTTCTGTTGCTTTTAAGCCTGTGCCAAGTAGAAACGTGGTGGTAGAGGACAGGGAGGTTTTAATTTAGGTCCTGTAAACATTGCCTCTTAACATATTCCAAATTGTATGATTGATACAGCTTTCCAGTAGCTGGCTGACTCCAATTTTCATGATTATGAATTTCATTCATAGAGTTTGAAGTTAGGTTCTATAGTGTTAGTGATAGATACACTTATGTGATAATGACATTCTTCCTTGAATTTTTAAGTATTTTTGGCCCTCCTTGGAATTATTTGGTATTTTTGTTCAGAAGAAAAAGATTCAGATGAATTCTGATTTTAGGCATATGAGCACTGGCCTAAAAGATCAGGTCACCATTTTAGATCTACAGCAATTAAAATAATTACTTTTTCTAATGTAACTGTGCATAATGATCATTGTCCATACTGATTTACTGTTGTTCTTAATTGAATTAGAGAACAGGTTCACTTTAACAGGTGTCAGAATAAAGATGTAGCCAGGGATTTAGCTCAGTGGTTCCGGTGCCTGCCTTCCAAGCACAAGGTCCCGAGTTCGATCCCTGGTACCAAAAAAAAAAAAATTGTAAAAGAATAAAGATGTATATCTCCTCATGAAATCTTATTCAGAACTCATCGTTTTTCTCTTTTGCATCTCTTCAATGGTATTTTATCACAATTTAAAACCTTTTTACAGTGCTTTGCCTAGTTCTAAGCTGTCATTTTTTTTCTATGATTTTTATCTTTGTGAGATTTATTTGTAAGAGCTCTTTGAAATATTTTATCTGTATTGAATTAAACATTTGAAACTTCTGTGTTTAGACTGATAACTCATGGGTTATTTGTATCTTTGGTGAGATAAATTAAAAATAATTTATTTTGCGCAAGGACCTGAGTTTGATCCCCGGTACCAAAAAACAAAACAAAAAACAAAAATAATTTATTTTTCCCTTTTTTTTTGCACTCTTGTTTTAATTTTAAACTTAAATAGTCATATAGAATGACAGAACTGAAGCAACTCACATACTGGCAAATCAATTTTGAAAAGAATTTGGTCTTTTCCCTCTCTGTTCACCTCTGAATAATCAAGAAAATGTTTTTGGTTATCTCTTTTCAGAAGTTCTCCACTCTATCTTCACTGAATATTAAGGCCTATGTGTGTATATTTAATAGGCAGCATAGGAGAGCTACATTTTGATTTCTTTCAGAGTTCAATCTCAATCTCATTACACATCAGTATTTATAAAAAGCTAAGATAAAGTGTTTAGTCAAGATTGCTTAAAGAATACATTGTCATGCTTTTTATACAGATAGTTTAAATTCATCTGTAAAGCAAGCCAGATTAATAGAGAGCTGGGTGTGTGGATTGCATTGTATTTTGATCCCTTTCAGAATGGCTTTTACTGAATTACACTGGTACTATAAGCCTGTAGTAAAGGTCATCCTAAGAAACTTTTTTAAAAAAATCAAAATCCTGAAGTCAGCGGAACACACCGAATCAGCCTGCTGCAGACAGGCAGGCACCTGGTTCCACACTACAAAGACCCAGAGGACACCAGACCACGGTACTGAGTCCCACTGCTCCTAGCCCAGAGGAAAGGGCTTTTGGGCCACCTTCTGTCCCACCGCTCCTGGCCCAGGGGTAGGGGTTTCTGAGCCGCCATCCCACTGCTCGTGGACCAGAGGAAGGGGCTTCCTGGCCACCATCCCTCCCGCTGCTCCCAGCCCACAGGAAAGGGCTTTTGGGCCACCATCCCTACCGCTGCTACCGGCCCCTGTCCCACCTCTCCCAGCTCAGAGGAGGTAATCCGTGCATGCGCCAGCAGCCCCCCTCCCCCAGTTGAAATGAGAAAACACGTAAATAAGTCTCAAAACCAAACTTCAGATCACCTACAGCAACCCCAAAGGGAAGTGAGATGGAACACTCTGATACTCAACCACCTGGACCCACTGAACTGGCAACAAAAGGGGATCTGGAAAAAATGAAAT